CCGCTGATAATCGAAGTGAGGCGCTAAAGTGCAGGTGGAAGCGTGAGAGTAAATTAATAGGCGCCTGAGCATTTTTACTTCGCGCAAATTAAATTGTGTCAGCTGCTTGCCCCACATCGCATTGTTTCGTCGTGGGATCATTATACGTATTATTGTTCATCGGTAAACCCAACTGTTGATAAAATAGAAAATGGCGAACAATAGAGTATATTTTTTTATAACTTCCCGCACTGAATCGCTTGGAGTCAGAGTAATGATAACTTGCTTATTTTGAAATCTTAAGCGTACTTTGAAGAAATTAAAACTTTGCAGAAGGTAGGCATTAGGCATTCAAATGATCTCATAGTTCTTGTGATTTACATTGACTTTGTTCTATGGTCATGTTTTTACCGTTTCGCTTTGATTTCCTGCGTGCTGTAGAAGGTCAAATATTTTATCTTTCTTTAATTGAGCATTAAGCCAAACTTTTATTTCTCTTTTCTAATAATATTCTGTGAATCGAGTTCAACTAAGTAAAATTTGCAAAAATAAGTCAAATCCGATCTGACTCATTATTAGTTTCTTCCTCAATTTCTTCCATTTCGACAATGTCCTGGATTTTCAAAGGAGTTTGATCTCCGATAAAACCAGTTGGTTTTAAAAAATCATCTAAATGCCAACCGTAGCTTTCGGGGTTTAATTTCGCACATACAGCATCAGTTGCATTAAGCCACATAGAATTTACATATATAGTTCTTAAATTTTTTTGTAGCAGGGATTCAATTCGGATCTCTCTGTCACACATTTCCACTCGCGTTAAAATTAAAATCTTCAAAATTCGCAAACCCCTATTAGGACCAAGTTTTTTGCAGACAACCCTATATCACCGTGTTCGCAATAAAACAACGCTCATATTGATATAAAATTTTTTCGATTATCTAATCGAGTGAAGGTAACTGGCATCGACATACCTGTTTATACCTGACAACCGAGTAGTTTGTCCAGGTAAATAGGCAACCCAACGGCTGCACATTCTATACGTTTCATACTTTAAGTCAGGGTAAAAATTTTCTTATTATCTTGATGTTGCAAAAATAAAAAAATAAAACATTTTTTTTAAATAATTAAAAATTGTCTGTCCAGGATTTTTTTAGGCAACCCATTTTCAACATATTTTCTAACATACTAAATTTGTTATAAAATATGATTCATTCTATTATCAGCCCGGTGAAGATCGTTTTTAGTTCGGATCTTCTACTATAAGTAAGGTTTCCAGTTTTCATAGCTCTAAATGGGTGGGGGATGGGATTAGATTAGGCGAAGTGCGAGTGATATTCTGCTAAATCATCTATGGACTACGGATGGTGGTCATTTACCATGAAAGGGATAAGATAAAATCTCTACTGTCCATGTCAAGTGATTAGGACCACAATCCTGATAAATATTTTAAACGCTTTTTCAATATTTATCAAACCTGACTAGTGTTTTGTTACTCGTCACGTCACTCTTATTAAGCACATCTTATGGCGCTTGTTAACGAGACGATTTCTACCCGGACCTAGGCACGGTTTTAAGAGCCCTTTTACAAAATTGCGCCGCTGCCGTACTGATCGGCGCGTAAGTAGATTTGCACTAGAATATATTGCATTTTACGGGTGATGTTTCGAGTTTTATAAAATAATTATTAATGAACTTATTATAAAAAATATATACATATTTCAGTAGTTCAATGACGGTAGATTAGTTTTATGAAAGTTTTTGATAGTAATTCTATATAATTCAATATTAAATAAAATACGAGGTAAACCTGCATTATTTTTTGGGAAAACTCACGGAGGTTAGATGTTCTTTTGATAATTAATGAGATGGAAAATCAAAATTCTAATACATTATGTTACAACAAAAACATATTTCTCTTGTCAAAGTAATTAATTTGATCTAATTTATTGAATATTATTTAGAGATTCAGGCGTTTGAAGTAGTGCATATTATCGTTATTTTCAGTAAACTAGCTGCGGTAGAACGATCAGTACAAAAAAAGGAAAATAGTATTTGCAAATATTCTACATTAACTTACAAAAGGAAGAATAAATCTTCTGTTTAATTTTATTGGAAATAGTCAAAAAAAATCTAAGGGGGTAAACGAGGCGATCAAAAATTACGACTTTTTGCAAAAATGTGAAGGGGCTCTTAAGACATGTCTACGTCAGGTCGTCAGTTAGGTACGGGACACGATGGAGTTTTGCAAACGACAGCTGCGCTAGGGCCAGTTTGGGGTCGGTACAGACGTACAAGTCGTGCCCGTGAACAAGCTTAACCGGCACCGACCTGGGTAGAAATCGTCTTGATAATAAGTGCCCTTAGGCTGCCTTTCCACAGAATCGGAGCTGAGCTGAGTCTTAAAGACATTGACCAATGGTATTGCTCAAAATATATTCTTCTGTGGAAATGCAGCCTAAGTCAATCATTGAAGACTTTTCTGATCACTCTATCCTAATGCTAGCATTTAAGATCAGTTTTTTACGTTATATTTCACTACATAATTTTAAGCCATGTCTACGTCTACGTCAGGCCGTCAGTTAGGTATACGACACTATGGAATTTAGCAAACGACACGGCATCGGCAACTCGAGCAGTGAAGGTGAGTGTTGATGCGCATCTCAAATGGGGCATTCTTAAACCTACACCTGGGTCGCAAGTCCCGGGAACTGCTCTGAGTTTTTCTCCAACACAATGGACCCTACACCCTCACGGTGAATCCATGGATTGCTAAGAAGTTCGTCACATGAAATGAAAAGCGAAAATAACATTTGCCCGGGATTCTAGTTAGAAAACTGTCCGGTTAGAATACTGTCTACATAATTTTAAAGAGTTAAAATGAGACACATGAAGAAGCAATGTGCAGCTCGGCAAAGTTAGGTGGCCGGTGTGGAAGGTAAAACTGCTGTACCAGCTATTGTCGCGTCTGGACTCCACCATCACTTCACATCAAGTAGGGTGGAGTCATTTATCAGACCTATTGTGTTACTACCTATTGAGTGCAATCCTTTCAAAATCAACCAGCCTCTGGTCTATTATTTGACACCCTCCTGTTGATGGAGGGTGGAGGGAGGGAGCTTCGGATTCGAATCCCAGAGGGGGCAAATGTGTGTGTGACAAACACAACCTTAGTTTGAGTGGGACTAGATAATAATGATGAAAATGTCAAAAAATAAAATAAAAAATTCTAGATTGTCACATGATCAAAAATTGCATGGATTGGAAGTCTATAATAAAGTCACATGTTATTAACCTTAGCTATCAATATCTTCTGTTTTTCTGTTTGACGTTTTCATGGCAGGCTGAAACATCATGGGTCTGTGAGACACCATAATTAATTATGGCCAAAAGAGACATTTCTCATATTAAATTTCCACTTTTATTATTCACTAGCAGCTTTCTGCGACTTAGTATGCATGGAGTTAGTTAGAAATAAGGGTTCACTTTTCGTTCCCCATAGGTGAAAAAGTGATAATATGTAACGTTTCTGTTGACCTGACTTCTTAATAATATTCGTGCCAAATTTGAAGTAAATCCATGCAGTACTTTTTGAGTTTATCCTGGACATACATACAGACAAACAGACAAAAATTCCAAAATATTTTTGGCTTTGGTATCGATTGTAGATAAAACCCTAAGTATATTTAAAAAAAAATATTCAATGTACAGTTTTGACTTTCCTACCATTTTATTATATGTATAGATAATTATAATTGTGTGAGCATTTAGCTGACAAGATTACATTATGCAGTCCGTAGACACTAGTAGTTAATATATTGAGCAATAAAAGCATTGATGATTTACCAACACTATAGATGTGAAATAAAGCGTTCATTTTCAATAAACTTTATGTTTGATTATACAAGATAGTAATAGTGAACATTTATTACAAATATTTCATAAATTTCAAGCATAACTTCAGGTAAGACCCAAGAATGAGTTTTATTTTTATTAATTTACTTATATAAGAAATAGTTTAATGTATTATTAAAGTATGTACTTTGTATATAATTTATGCTTATTTAACAGATTTGAAGTAACTTTAATGTATAAATATACTAATGATAAGGTTATAAATATACTTATGAGCACTTCTTAATAATAATGAGCTCAAATGGCATTCTTAATTAGCTTGTCAATCAACTTACAGGTATAAATAGATATAAACAATATAAATATAGTATAACAGTACAAATATAATTATGAATCATTGTTGACAAAAATTATCATAGGTTCAAGCTTAACTTCAGGTAAGATCAAAGAATGAGTTTTGTTTTTATTAATTTACTTATGTAAGAAATATTTGAATATGTTATTTAAGTATGTACTTTGTATATACTTTATACTTATTTATCAGATTTGAAGTAACTGTAATGTATAAATATATGTATGAGCACTTTTTAATAATAATGAGCTCAAATGGCATTATTAATTCGCTTTTCAATCAACTTACAGGTATAAATATATATAAACAGTATAAATATAGTATAACAGTACAAATATAGTTATGAATCATCTTAGACAAAAAGTATCATAAGTATACCATATATCGGGCAGTTAATACTTTGTTGTAACTTTTTTAAAATCCTAGCCTAAACATATCTAACAAATAGATTCTTGGAATACTAAGTATAATTGCCAAGATGCCTCAAGTTACAATAACTTGGAAGATATCAGACAGTTTTAAATCTGTAGATATTTTTATCTACCTACCCCAAAAATTTCTAATAAGAAAATAATTGAAACTTGTAAGCATAATTGAGGTTCAAATTCTAAAAATATGGTCAGTGTTATTTTACTATAATCAAAACTTTGATAAAAGATATGTTGATTTGGATTGAAATTAGGTGTGTCATTTGATAGCATTGGAGATTTTTAGAAGCAATGTCTCGTAACATTGGCAAGTTAACAATCTACATATTACTGAAATAATTTAGATTCTAAAGATCAAGAACATAGTTTAAAATTGGGTAATAACTTACCACATTGTTAAAGTTGAAGGTTGTTGCACCAGGTGCGAAGAACTCTCCATTTAACTTGTCTCCCATTATATGTCTGCTACTTATCTAACATTATTTGTAAACACCTTTAAAACTTGGTCGTCTCAGAGCACAAAGAAGGAAGTCTAGGTTTCCCATTGATGTAAATTACAACGGGTTCGAAAGCGTCCGTACTAGCATTATTTGTTCAACAAATTATAATTCACTAGACACTAAAAATCCAGGATTGATAGTAATATTTATGTTTTATAGATTTTACCTTAGGTGAAAAACAGCTTAATAATTAAAAAAAATATTAATATTTTTTGTATCTTGACAATTCACCTTGACATACATAAACAGACATGTGTGTCAAATAGCCATTTTGAATTCAGTCATATTGTTTTAAAAAAAATGGAACGCAAAGAATATAATGTATACAGTTAAGAATAGGTTACCGGTGTCAACTCTGGCATGATTCTTTAAACTTAAAACTAAATTTAACATCAGGCTCTCTTTTTAATTCTGTTTAAATAATGAGAAGGATACACTGGTACTTTAAAAAATATACGTTTTGCTTTAAAAAGGTCTTATTTGTTTTATTTTATCCTACTAATATAAAATATAAGAGTAGGAACTTTTGGCCGCGGAATGGAATAGATTTTGTAGATGAATCAAAATAGCCATATTTCAACATATAATACAAAATATACAAATCCACTATCTCTGGTTTTGGGCCCACTGATTGTAACCGAAAATCATAGCGATATTTACACCAAAACGGAAATAAAATTAAAATACTAAGCCTTTTAATCTTAACTTAGAGTAACTATGTCTCTGTCAAAAGGAACAAGACCATTGATCTAGTGCGTTTATAAAAACAAGTTCACGCGCGACAACTTCCATTTTGGATCGTTCAGTGTCGCGAGTCGGAGCTCTCACAAAAATGGAAAATAATGTTGTTTTCTCATTCAAAAACCGATCTACCACTTCAATCCTGCTGAAAAATGGTGTTTTACTTTTATATATACAAGTATTTTTAATTACTAAAAAGTTAATATTCTGGTATAAAATTCTATTAAAAGATAAGGTGCGGAATGAAGAATGACTGACAAAGATAGTAGAAGTTCATAGTAATGTGACGAAAAGTCAATGCAATCAATGAATGGTATTTTTATTACTGGAAAACTTTCAACTACAATTAATTAAGTGCATCTGCCGACATGAATAGTCTACGCCTGGACGTTGCAATTTTGAAATATAATGAATGATACTGATGTCAAAATTGACATTAGTTGCACTTAGGGACACGATATCGAATAGAAAGTATCGATACTGTACTCATGAGTAGTATCGGTAAAAAAGTATCGTACTCGTAAAAGTATCGAAACAAAAGTATCGATACTTCAAAGTATCGAGTACATTTCATAGGGCCTTATCGGATCCTCTGTGGCCCGATGAGCAAACCCCCCCCCCCCCCACCCCGGGTTAAAAATTGAAAGAAAAACAATCCAATTTTATTATAGTACGTATAATAACAGTAAAAGGACATATAAATTCACAAATTGCTATATAATGAAAAGAAAATAGCTGTGATTTCTGACACTTAAAAAGTGTTCATTAATATCACATTAATAATTAAAATGTTACTTGAATCTGACACGCAGTTAACGGCGGCCATTGGCATGCTTCACTCAATATTATAATTATAGAAGAGGTTACGTCCGTTTTTTTTTCAGGTCCGTGGTTTCAAATAGGTATACACAGCACAGACAGAATAATAGTGTTACACTTGAATACATTTTTTTTTTTTTTATAGTTAGGTCCGACAAATGACTCCACCCCACCTGATGTTAAGTGGAGGTGAAGTCCAGACGCGAAGATAGCTGATACAGCAGTTCTACCTGCCACGCCAGCCATCCTCACCCTGCCGGCCTGCATGTTGCTTCTTCACGCCTCTTTTAAAGGATCCCAGGTTGTAAGAGGGAGGGAACACGTGAGCGGGCAGAGCATTCCATTTACGGATAGTGCGACAAAGAAATGAGTCACCAAATTTCTTTGTACGCGTTGGAATTGTGGCCACAGTAAGACGACGACAACGTAGGCCAGCGCGCGTGGTCCTCTGAAGGAAAGGAGAAGGTGGGATAAGAGAGAATAACTCCTCAGAACACTCGCCGTGGTACAAACGATAGAACGCGCTTAGTGACGCCACGTCACGGCGTAATTGAAGAGGCTCAAGGTGTTTAGTCACTTCCTCATCGCCTATGATGCGGATCGCGCGCCGCTGTAACCTATCCAAAGCATCGAGCAAGTACTTGGCGGAGCCATCCCAGAGGTGCGAGCAATATTCCACGCAGGACCGCACTTGCGTTTTGTACAACAAGCACAGTTGATCGGGCGCGAAAAAACGCCGCACCTTGTTCAGGACTCCGAGTTTGCGTGAAGCTGTTTTGATCACGGTTTCGATGTAGTCCTTTGGATTCAGGTCTGAGCGAACTTCCATACCGAGCATGGAAATGTTGCTCTGCAGCGGTAGTGTTGTGCCCTGAAGAGATGGAAGGGGAAGGAATGGCGATGTTTTTGCCGTGAAAGCGCAAGCCTGAGTTTTCTTGGCATTGAACCCAACCAAGTTCCTGGTACCCCATTCGGAAATGTGGTCCAAAGCCTGATTGAGCTCAATGACAAGATTTTCCCGTTTCTCCCTGGTTACTGCCCGCCCAGCCGCTGCTTGTCCGAGATACCCCGCATGCACTGTACTATCGTCTGCATAGCAATGAATATTCCCAAGAGGAATCAAGTCATTGATATGCAGCAGAAAGAGAGAGAGAGGGGATAGGACGGAGCCCTGGGGAACGCCGGCATTCACTGACATGAACCGCGAACTGCTATCATCCGTAAGGACACGAATTCTACGCTCATGCAGGAAGTCAGCTACCCAAGAACAGAACTGGGCTGGCAGACCGTATGCCGGAAGCTTGGAGAGAAGGCTTTTGTGCCAGACCCTGTCGAACGCCTTGGCAATGTCAAGGCTGATAGCCAACGACTCGCCACGCTTGTCGATAGCCTCACCCCAGATATGAGTTAAGTACGCTAGAAGATCACCCGTCGATCGTTTCGGTCTAAATCCATATTGACGATCATTAATCAGGGAGTGATCCTCTAGGTAGCGGGTCAGATGGTTATTAAGGACCTTTTCTAGAACTTTACATAAAACTGAGGTGACTGCTATTGGCCGATAGTTTGCCGGGTCTGAGCGATCCCCTTTTTTGGGCACCGGTTGCACGTTAGCATCTCTCCAAGTCTCCGGCACACGCCCCAAAGAATACGAGCATTGGTACAAGCGCGTGAGCACGGGAGACAACTCCGCTGCACATTTTTTAAGTACTACTGCTGGGATGCCATCAGGTCCACTAGCTTTCCGGACGTCGAGTGATTGCAATTCGGCACGAACCTCACGCTGCCTGATTTTAATATCAGGCATCGTTGTGCCACAGTGAGGTAATGATGGTGGCAGTGCATTGCAATCATCGATTCGGGAGTTAGCCGCAAAGAGTTTTGCCAGTAAATCGGCTTTCTCCTGCGGCTTATGAGCTAGTGTTCCGTCTGGGCATCTCAGAGGTGGCAGCGAGGGCTGGCAGAAGTTTTTTTGCACGGCCTTGGCCAAACGCCAGTAGCTACGGGAGCCCGCAGGATGCGTTATAAGTTCCTGGCCAACACGTGCAACACGCTGGGCATCCGCTCTGATGTAAGCCTTCTTACAGGCCTTGGAAGCAGAATTGTAGGCTGCTTTGAGTGAATCGACCCCGGGATCCTTGAGAGCGCGGCCTCTGATCCAAGCACGATATGCCGCTTGCTTACGCGAAGCAGCTTCAGCACAGTCGTGATTGAACCAGAGGTTACGTGTGCCCTTACTGATGAGATCAGAATGAGGAATATAGTATTCCATACCCATTATGATCTCCTCAGTAATGGCAACGGCACTGCCCGATAGGTCCCTGTCACTGAAGCAGCGCTGCTTCCAAGGGACGGACGCAAAGTAATCACGCATACCGTCCCAATCTGCCGACCCATAATGCCAGATACGGCGCTTGACCAGTGCTGGACGCGGAGGCTTGGCCTGTGGTGCTTTGGCAGATATCAGGCAGTGGTCGGACGAGCCCAGGGGGGCTCTTACCACAACCTGATAGCCCTGTGGATGGGTCGTGAGCAGAAGGTCCAGTAAAGAAGGCGCTTGACTTGGAATGTCTGGGATCCTGGTGGGCTGATCAACCAGTTGCTTCAAGTCATGCGTGAGAGCGAATGTGTGAGCAGAGATCCCTGCATGGTCAGTTTTGGAAGAACTTAACCACAAATTGTGGTGAGCATTAAAGTCCCCCAAAAACACCAATTCTGCATTGGGAAATCATCGCCGGTGTGGGATCTGTAGAGGCACACGTAGACTCTGGCCCGGGGGCCAGAGTCGACGTGTACCCCCAGCATGGAGAAGGAGGGATCTTCCAAGCAGTGGAGACGGCGACAACAAACATCCGCCCGAACATACAGGCATACACCGGCTATCGCTTTGAAGGACTCTTCAAGCACGTAGCCGGGATAATTAAGGTAGCCTGTGTCAGCAGGCGGAAGTATTTGTGTCTCCGTCAGGAACAATAATGCTGGCCGTGCTGTCTCGAGATGGTGGTGGACAGCGTTGAGGTTAGAGTGGAGTCCGCGTATGTTGCAGAACTCGACCTCAAACAGCGTTGAAGGCGTGGGGGTGTGCACCGCTGTACGTCCAAACTTTGTTATTGAGGCTGCCATGGTGGAAGTGAAAAAAAAAAGAGACGCGAAAACGAGCGGACGCCGTCGCGAAGAGTCCGGGCAAATAAGGGGGGTTTGTCTTGCGGATTGACTGCCTGCAGTGGAGATGCGCCGACCCGCCGGACGGAAGGGCCCCCGCACCCCCCCGGGAGTGGCCGCCGGGACCCCACGCCCCGGTCACCAACCGGCACGACGGTCCACCCCGAGATTATGCGTGACATGATGGGGCAGCCTCGCGAACTGGTGAGGAACGCTTGGGCCCCTGTACTGTGCCACGGGCGGCCAGCGGGACAGCCGTTTCTACGGGTCTCCCTGGCCGACGGGTCGATGCAGTCCTCCCGGCATCGGTTCCACGGATGCCTCCCCTGGACCGAATCCTTCGCGACAACTTCCACTCGAGCTCTGGTTGTACGCTGGCTGACCCCGAAACGCGCGAGAAGCACTTCACGGGTTTTTCACCATGCGCACGGTGGTAACAAACCAGGCGGGTGTTAGGCACCCTACCACCAGAAGAGCGGATGGAAGCTCCGACATCCCTTAGTCGCTTCTTACGACACCCACGGGAAGAAAAGGGGCGGTGAGTTGTATTCTTTCTCCGTCACCGCACGGATTAAACACAAAATTATTAAACATCAAATGCAGTCAAGCGAAAAGCACAATAAACGGCGAATCATCAATCACAATTCCTAACAATATGGTCGCTAAATAAATAACTATGAAACAAAACAAAGCGCAAAATAAACACAGTCACAGATTGGAAAGAATTTGAATATATCATAACAATATGAGGCGCTTATCCAAATTTTAAAAGTATCGATACTTACTTGCCAAAAAGTACTCGATAAGTAAAAGTATCGAATACAAAGTATCGAGTACAAAAGTATCGGTATCGAAAGGAAAAGTACTCGATACCACAAAGTATCGATACTTTTTTCGTGTCCCTAGTTGCACTTAGAGCTCAGAGCGTAGGTTTGGAACGGAGCTTTGATTGTTGATTATTTTGGATACCTTTGCCTTCTCAGAACGGGTAAAGAAAAAAATAAAAAAAAAATTGTTGATTGGATTGGATGGATTGGAATTTGAAAATTAATACATACATGGTTCTTCAAACGCTGTTTTAAAATAAAATGCATAATTTGGATTCGGATAGTGATGATGATTTACCTGGCGGCTGGGTCCAGAAGTCGACAGAAGATGGAAACGTGTATTATGTAAAGTAAGTGGTGCTTTTGTTTATTAGCTGCATTCTATCTTAAATCCCACCCAATAACTAGATGTACGTACTTTTGTAACATACGTAATTAATTTGATAACTGTGATAAGAATGAATGTGTTTCTAAGTATATTCCTTTTAGTGAAATGAAATCCCTATAAAATTAATGTTTCAGTTCGCTTACAAATAAAATACAATGGACACATCCACGAACTGGCCGCAAAAAAGTCATACCGAAGGAATTACCTTTTGGATGGTCAAAGACAGTTGATGACTCTGGTAAAATATTGTATGTACACAATGAAAGTGGGAGTAAAACTGATGTTGATCCAAGATTAGCGTTCGCCAAAGACGAAAAGAAACACGTCCATGATTTTCGTCAACGTTTTGATGCATCATCAACAGCATATCAGGTACCCACAGCAATTCATTAAACTCTTATTTAATTGCTTCTTGTTTGCACCAGCTAAAATATAGATTAATAAATGTTGGTTGAACATAATTTCATGGAAAGATCATAAAGATTTTATTTTTAGAACATCCTGCAAAATTTCGAAGTGCAGAGCCCTATAATTTCTTTGAGGACAAAAGTAATAAAAAGTTTACTTTTCTTTGTCAATAACTAAATTTTAACAAGTTAAATTGTTTTATTCTAATAATCTACAAGATGAGGTTAAGTTTACCATACAGCCATTGTGAATTTAAAACTTTTAAAAATCACCAGGGTAGGTTAGTGTTGTGACCATAACACAACAGCTGCCGGTAAAGCACCGGAAAATAAATCCTTTTCATTTACCTACTCCCTCTTGTAGCTTGTAGTGCATATCAGGTTCGTATTATACTGCATTTATGTATATTGTTGTTATTTATGTATTTCGAGAGAAAAAAGGAGAGAGGGTTGTTTATTATTTTAAAAATATGTGTTTTCTTTGCTGGTTAAGAGTTGGGAGACTTTCCTGCTCATCCACTCCCTCCTATGGATATCTCGGTATACATTTTTTAGGGGGGAGTGACAGTGGGCTATTCCCCTTCCGAACACCCCCTATGACACCCTTCCTTGCTACTGGCCCTTTCATGGATCTCATGTAATCTATATTTTTATGCTTAAATTTACTTTTGTGATTTATTTGCTTTTGAATCATTATTGATTGCATTTGTCTAGTCTCATTTATTAGCAATAAAAATTACCAAATTCTAAAAGCACTGAATGAACAAGGAATGCTGCCTCATTTTGTTTGTATAAATTTTTCTTGTGTATAATATATCTTCAGTATTCTAAATTGTTATATTCTCTTAAAATCATAAAATTCTGTTTATCTTTACAGGTGCTGCATGGAGTTGACTTATCTGGAAAGTATGCCTTAATAACTGGATCTAATGCTGGAATAGGTTATGAAACAGCAAAATCTTTGGCTCGGCATGGATGTAACATTTTGTTTGCCAACCGAAATATGGAATCAACACAACAAGCTATCAAAAATATAGTTAGGGAAACTAATGCTGATGAAGAAAATCTTAAAGCCATACATTTGGACTTAGCGTCCTTACAGAGTGTGAAAAAGTGTGCATTAGCTGTAAAAACTATGTTTTCTGAGTAAGGAGCAAATTATTTTCTATTTAAAAAAGTGTTAAATTGATGTGTTAAGACATTGTCTATGTAATGGTTTAAAAAGAATCTTTTGAAATTGATTTATTATGATAAGATTGGTTAAGATTTATCAAATGTGTTAATAATGCTCTATTTTTATTTATTTTAACTTTATCAAAGCTATTAAAAGCAATAAATAAATTACCAAAATAATGCTTATTTCTTGTGACTTACAGCCATTTGGATATGGTAATTTTGAATGCAGGAGTATTTGGTCTACCATTTACATTGACAGAAGACAAGTTGGAGACAACATTCCAAGTCAACCACCTGAGTCATATGTACTTAGCTTTGTTATTAGAACCATTATTGAAAAGGGGTTCAAGAGTTGTATTTGTTTCATCTGAATCCCATAGGTAATAAAACTAAACTTTTATTTGTAATCACAATACTGGATATATGGACCATGTCGATAATTTCATTGTTGAATTTGCTATTTGAAATGTTACAGGTTTGCCAATTTGAAAAATGTCTTCACACAACAAACATTGTCCATGAGTAAGGACCAATATACATCTATGATGGCTTACAATAATTCAAAACTCTTTAATGTTGTCACAGCAAAAGTAAGTATTTTTTAATTCTGTTAGTTAAATAAATCCTGTTTCTTATGGAGTTAAAATTGGTGAAGCTTTATATCTGTGTAGATATCTCAGTATAAGATAGACAAATATGAAATCCCATAGCTCCATTTAACATAAGTAGAAACCATTTCCAAGGGCATAATTTGCCTTCTAATTTTATTTTCCTTGTTTTGTAATACAATGACTTAACACCATTCCCAAGTATTATGGTTAATTTCTTTTATTCAGAAACAATCCTTTTTACAGATATTAAGTGAAGAGTGGAAGAGCAAAGGTATATATGTAAACTCCCTTCATCCGGGAAATATGGTATACACTAATCTTAGCAACTCTTGGTGGTTATTCCGTCTAGCATTCTTCCTAGTCCGTCCTTTTACCAAGTCTTTGGTGAGTAGATAATTTTAAATTAAAAGCAGTAACTAATAAGCTAAAGATTCGGCCTAGTGCGTGTCGTATCCGCATACGGAAACCCTAAAAACGATCTAATATCAAATGCTTGTATAATGATAAAAGTTTTATACAACTTTCTCTTGTGTAAAGATCCACTTTATTTTGATAGTTATGGTGGCAAAATAAATACTTATTTGGTAAAATTTGCAACTGTATTCAAGTGCAGGAGTACATGCCAGCTGTCAGGCAAACATTTGGAGAGGAGAGGACCATCTTATTTAGAAATAAGTAAAAGTCATTACTTTTGCTTAAGTATTAATTTGAGCAACATTTTTCATTTAATAAATAAGAAATTGATCAAAGTGGAAACTGTCAAAAATGAGAATTCTTATAACTTGTGCCATAAGAGCCTGCGCTGCCTTTGTAACGTGCGTGAGAGGCAGAATACTAGCGTCGGCATTTTCGATTATATAATTTCTTTAATGCCTATTTCACACGAGGGCAAACAGTGGGCAGGGCAGTTCTGCTACCGTTTGAACGCATTAAACAGGACAGGACAGACTGTCTCGACAGTAACCAAGGCAGAACATTTAATAGCTCGCCGGTCTATTTTTTCGAGGCAGTTAGCTCCACCCACCACCATTCTCGCTCGACGTACTGTCTTATATTTGAACGTCACTGTCCTACCCTCGTGAGAAACAGGCATAAGAGAGTGCGCTGCGTTATGCGGGGCGGGGGTCCCGCCTCACGCAGCGCTGCTCTATAAAAAAAATGAAACAAACACGCCGATCGAACGCTCGCGTTTATTTATTATTAATATGTTTTTTTTTTATTGAATTCAATTTACTAACACTAGGTTTGTAACCATTATGGATGAATAAATTGAAATAAATGTTATTATTATTATTTGCATGGGTTACGTACTAGGTCGTTATAGCAAAGAACTTTATTAGGCAAATGTAGCGAAAAATTAAAAAAAAAAGTTTTGTATGAATGTTACATATTCTACGTAGCTTCCTAAAAAGAATGATAATTACAGCAACAAGCGGCAGCTACAACAGTGTATGTAGCGACAGATTCCGATTTAGAAGGAGTCACAGGTCTTTACTTCAATAACTGCTTCTATTGCGAATCATCAACCTTGGCCAGAGACAAAGACATAGCTACCGAAGTATTTGCCATGTCACTTAAAATGATCCGAGAACGCACGGGAGCAGATCATATTCAGCAATACATGGACAAATATGTGAAACACAAAGAAGATGAACGGCCTTGATTTATGCACGGTCATGACATTCCACATTAACGGTTTTTTAGTATTCTAGTACAATGGGTAACTTAATTTGAAAGTCAAGACTTCAGTACAAACTTTTAGGATTGAATTGTTTGACCAAACAGATGTGGATGGAGGTTTATTAGGGGAATGGGAATGTTCAAGGGATTTGTATTGTATTATAGAAATTATATAATTTATGCTATAATTTTGTGTATATGGACAAAATGTGATATAATTCTGTAATATATATTGGACTTTATTTTTATTGTTATATTTCTTATAAATAATAAAAGGTTTGTATTAAAATATTTTATTTCTTTCCGCCACTTCTTACTATGACATGCCGAGTATTTCGAAATCCTTGGACTGGCCTAATTATAACAATTTGACTTATAATTTGCAAGGCCTAATTACCTATAAAAATACCTTAGTTAAGCTTTCATAGCCTACATAGAAATTAAAAAATTATATCTATTTACAATCTATTTGCTTATAACTATTTCACTATCGGAAATAAAAACCTAGTTAGAATCCTATTTGAAACCTATAGAATTACATTTCAGACTTTTATTATAATCTGGTCATCATTTCTTCCTTCTTATTGGGAAGTGGTGAAGATCTTGGTAGCAAAAACGTTAATAATCCGCAAACTGCAACAAAAGAATTACAATATTAATAATTGCAAACTACAAAATGATAGCACTCTTTTTCAAGTTAACACCTGAGTAAGAATACTGGGTGAAAAAAAATGACTTACATAACAAAAGTCCTCCAAACATATAGAACATTCCTTCGCATGTCGAGTTGATCATAAGCCCAGCAACATTGGCGCCAAATATTGAACCGAATCTTCCAAACATCATGGATAAACTGACGGCCATCCCTCTATGCAACAAAATAGAAAATTTAATGTATGTACCTAAGTACTTCAATCTCATATAACTATCTCTTATCTATTAGACAAGTCCGTCCGTCTGTCTGTGGTGCTGTTTCAGCGGCCAAACCGTAAGAGATAGATAAAGAGAATATTTAAGTTATAAGTTAAGAATAGTCTGATAAGACTACAAACCGGATTTGAGTAACGTAGCACTTCCGGTTTTCGAGAAATCACGAATTTCAAACGAAACCACAGAAAATCTCCGAAGTTCTCAATTAATTAAATACATTTTTTTTTAATCAGGTTTTGGTGAACATTTGGTTCACTGGTTTGCTAGTATTGTATATATGAAGAGGGCCAGTTGACTGAAATAATATAATTCCGCCCGATCGTTATACTTCGCATGCTCGTGAAATATCTAAGGTAAGATGTATGTAAATATAAGAATTATTAAAAGAAAAAATTGGATGTTCAGAGCTCCCAAAGTGGATTAATTTTAGGGTGTCCGCTGCCTTAAGCGCGCGCACGCACTGCTTCTACTGCGGTAGCTATGTCTGTGTCTCTGGCCAGGTTGGTGATTCACAGTAAAAGCAGTGCGCGGATGGTCCGCTTCTGGTGCTCTTTTATGTCATTTCATAGAGCAGCATTACGCGGGCAACGAGGCACGCTCTATGGGTAATCTTAAGTTTTTTTCTTCGTCGCGCGTCGTCTTATAGCTCGGTTCTGAAGACCAAGGCAGGTTAACAAAAATAATCCATTAACGACTGTTCACCGGTGTGATCGAAATTATAAAGGCGGCGCTGCGAGAGGCGGAAGTCCATCGTGGGTACCCGTGAACTTTTATGTCCTTTCTAGGGGATTCAAACTATCACTGTACCAAATTTCATCTTAATCGGTTCAGCAGTTTAATCACATTTTAAAGCGTGAAGAGGTAACAGAAAGACAGACGGACACACTTTCGCATTTAAATATTTACCGCAAGTGTAGTATTTATTTTTTTAAATAAAAAAGTGCGTCGGGAACAATTATTCCACACCATAAGCGTTGGCGGGACCAATTGCTAAACCGGTCAGTGGCAATGAAGTCAGCAGTCACGTTGATCAGTATGCAGAACAGGCCGATCACCACGAACACTATGATGACCAGCATCTTCTTCCCGATGCATTTCTCTGTAGTTCTGACTAAAAGAGACCATTCACTGGGTAGCAAGACGGGGGATATGTGAGGAACCTACCCTCAACCAGGCGATACACCAGTCACTGGCATTCATTCTAAGACTAAGGTCTGCAGAAAGCTATACACTTAGTCGTGGGGTGGAGTCATTTGCCACAGGACTTCTATAAAAAGAGCTTGACCTATATAATATTTACCTCAAGTGCGTAGGGAACAATTCCACACTATAAGCGTTGACGGGACCGATTGCTAAACCAGTCAGTGGCAACGACGTCAGCAGCACAGCGAACAATAGTTGCTGCGTCGTCACGTTGATCAGCATGCAGAACAGGCCGATCAGCAGGAACACTATGATGACCAGCATCTTCTTTCCGATGCATTTCACTGTAGTGCTGGCCGCTAGCGCGATGAGAGCGCAAACTATTGATGCTAGAGAGTTTATCATGTATGTTAGCTCGTCTATCGTGTCGATACATTCTCCCTCGTCCACTGTCTGCAAAAAGAAACTAAATTTTAGTGCACCAACATTATTATTCTTAAAAAAAATTAAGGCTTAATCCTGTTAAACACATCATTTCATATTTGTTAATTGTTAAAATTAAACGCTGGACTTTGCAAAGCTGTGGCAATGATCAATCTTCGAATTCCTATAGTAGAAATCGAAGTTTTCTATATTGTATACTCTAGAATCCGGCCTGGTAAGTTTTGACTACTACAAAACTACTGCTTTAGATACTTGCTCGATTTGGAGCGCGCGTCTGGGGAAGTAACCCCCACCTTACAGAAGACTACAGTAAAATAACACCACCTTTTGGTGGTGTAGTGTTTCTGCTGGAGGATTCCAGGAAGTCGATTGGGTTCAGGCCGGCAACGTGAGGATGGCTGGAGCGGCACACTTTGTGCCACATCATCTACCTTCGTGACTGGACTCCACTTACGCTTAACATCAGGTGGCGTGAGATAATTTGTTAAGCCTCGTATGAAGTCGAACCAAATTGTCACTAGGAATACACAAAACAGGTTGTTTAGTTTGGAATCTTTTGTTTTAGTACTTTTTAGTTTTTTTTATAGCTGCATTCAGGAACCAAGCTGTATCTACTATCATTGGTCAGAGAAGCGGCTCTATGCTATGTTCCTGTTACTCCAGCCACAGATTAAGTCCTCTACGCACTATACATCTTGCTGGATCCACTATGTGGGACAGCGCGTAAAGGAGATCCTGTATCTCCATCTCTTTTACGTGTAAAGCGCTGTCCCGCATGCTGGATCTAGCAAGATCAATAGTGAGTAGAGAACTTTACTCTTCAGCCCGCTTTCTCGTGTGACGCCGTTTTCCATCCTTGCCTTTTGAATAATATGTGATTGTGTGATAAAGAAAGCGTTTCCTTAGGAAATAAGTAAGTTCTGTGAAAGGAGCGCTACTAGGGACACGACATGACACAGAAAGAGGGAGAGAACACTAGATGTTTCGTGAGGGATACTTACCACGTTCTGTCCCAATGCTATTACGCCGCATGCTGTCAGACTCCCGTCGCCGCCACCAGTTAGCACTCGATTCAACACGTCTGGCACCCACATCCATAGGCCGTTCAGTCTGAATTCAAGCAAATATACCTACGTAAATGTTGGACAGCATAAAGGAGATTGCTCAGCTACCATACATGTTTGGCCTAAAGACCAATAATCATGAAAAATTGTTTCCTAGATTCAAAATTATATATAAATTACTGTAGAAACGAATACTATTGACGGACACCCCTGAGAACTTCTATAAACCCTATATACTGAATGATTTTGAGGTTGTTTGCAAATAGGTACATAGGTATTAAAATAATAAAAAACAAATAAGTAACGAAATTATATATTAGATTCAGGTATATAAAGCATGTAGATTAATAGATAGTGGCCTGTTTTTAAAGTTAATGCATAAGAGTAACTTTTAAAATCAGGTATTATCTATGCATTTCCGGTTATAATAAGGTACTCTGTGACAGAAAATGTGTGTTATTTGTGAATGAGCCACAGATTAGAGAGAATTTTTAAACTCTCGTTAACTAAAGAAAGCTTATTATTTTTGTTATGTTTATATTATAACCATATATTATATTCTAGTGTATTACACCTTATAATGTGTTTATGGAGGTGTTTGGCGAACAATGATGTCGATTCTGGCATGATTCTCTAAAGCTAAACTTAAATTTGACAACAGTGCATCCCTGTCATTCTCTATACAGAATGAAAAGGAGAGACTGATGTTAAATTTAGTTTTAAGTTTAGAGAATTACGCCAGAATCGACACCAATGTATGACAATAGACTTTATGATGTCGCCTACCATCTATTATATTTGTCTTAGCACATTTGCATGCAGTAAAAATGAAAATATACTTGTGGGTATTAATACTACAGTGTAATAAAAAAAACATTTATTTTATCGATCTTTACATAATAGATTTGTTTTGATGTTATATAAACAACTTCGATCAGTCTTTGGCTGAATGTTACCCATAGCCATAACAATGATCCGTATGTTTTCCAAACCGGTAAAAATATAAGTCCTTTTTAAAATGAATGTATTATACAAAGGTGTCCGTTAAAATCTAATGACTGTAAAATAAAGTATAAATTATGCCAAGAATTACCGTATATGTCAATATTTTTTGTACATTTAGGCCAATTTGAGCAATCTCCTTTGAATATCTGCTTTTAAATAAAATAAACGCATTAAAAGTGGTCCATTCGTTTAAAGTTAAAGGCTACGCTGCCTATCACAGAGATGATAGACACATCATCATCATCAACCTATTAATGACCCTACTGCTGGGCACAGGCTTTCCGTATGGATGGAATACGGAGATTGGCCATGACATAACCCACCCACGAGTCGATTACGGATTGGTGGGTGCTAATGACTGCAGATGCAGCCGGGACAACATCTTAACGTGCCTTCCGAAGCACGAAGGAGCTCGAGATAATAATTTTTTGGTCACGCATCCAATAACCGACCATTGCGAAAGTTGCTTAACCGATAACGCTATCCACCTGCGCCACTGGCACCACAATCCACCTCATAGCTTTTCTCTAAACTTAGTAGAGTTGCATAAATCAGTTGTTAAAATTATTTAAATTATCAGTAATGGTATTGATTATGAAAACTGATAAATCTGTAGTTAATCATTGATGGTATTGACTGATGGATTTATGAAAACCGCTGATAGGCGATAGGCAATCGGTCGTGACGTGCGGTTTGAACATTTTAAAGATAACAATCAGTGTTGGTGCAGGTCCGATTTTAAAAAATTGGAAGGCGTTATAGAAAAAAGCAGTAGATGAGGGGCAGGGGGGTGGCCAGTAATTAATGTGTTTCTGTGACTTCTGCCGTCCCTCAAAGCTCGTTTTTTTACCTGCATTCTTAATGGCGGAAAACGCAACTCAATATGCAATTCAAAAAAGAAAGTCGTATTCTAGGATAAACAGTAGTTTCATGTAGAAAAACCGAAGAACAGGAGAAATTTCAGAAAAATATGAAATCTGTAAAAATGGGATAACCTGGCAAGCCTGACAACAACAAATATGAGTATTTCGTAACTTACACATTAAACACACCAAAAAGTAAAAATCCATTAAGTAGCATCCATTTTACGAGGGGCGGCTTCATCAACGGCGCCGTTTGTAATCTCAGCGATGTGAAGAAGCCAATCTTGTTTCTTTCGGGGTCATCGGATACTTTCAATGCTTTTATCTAAAAAAAGGCGGAATTTCATTAGTTGATTGGTGCGAGGAATAGGGGTTAGTTAGGGCTAATCGTTTATAGCAGTTTTAAGTGTTGTCCTACACGACAACACATGCAACACACGTTAGAGAAAAGGAATGCGAATTGTGACGTCACATTTTCGACACTGATGTGCAAAGGACAACTTATGTGACTGAAAACATTTAATTTATAGAAGCTCATAAGTTTTAAGTTTTTTTACTGGTTAGCCGATTTTCTATATTTTGTAGTGCGAACAGAATGAGCTACTATGAGTTAGAATCAAAATGAGTATATTGACAGCTGAGATTACAGAACAAAAGCAAAAGGCAGATGAAGCGCACGGAACACGCGATGCGTGGCACCATAGCAAATACGAAGTCGAACGCGAATATCAATACGCGTCAGTACACTACAACGCATCGTACACAGAGTACCTTATTTTAACTGGCATCGTGTTGTGAATACGTCCCGTAAGTATTAAGTTTTAATCGATTCTGCCGCCCTGTTCAAGCATTGTAAAAACTATTCACAAAGACAAAAAAAAGTATTTTCTTTTGATTTCGTATTTGCTTTGGAGTCACGCATTCCTTTTGTTCTGTAATCTGAGATTGACATATTATCTGTCTTGCCCAAATCTATTCAACATGGTTAGTACCTAGTAGGTACAAAATTATTATCATGCAAAAGTAAGTGATTATTTTATGACAAATAAAGTTTCTTAAATCTTTTAACAGTCTTATACCGGAAATGTATCAGGCGATTTTCCTTTATTCGACGCGTACATGGTTCTCAGCACTTTTAGAGCTTCTTCCCTTTTCCCTTGGGAGACGAGGTACTTGGGGCTCTCCGGACCAAACGCTATTAGCTCAGCAGCCATGATGAAGAACAGCGCGTACACGATGCAAAGCAGACGCCAGGCTCGGAATTCATACAAGCCGAAGTCCACTCTGAAGTCTTGTGGCAATATTGCCCAGGCTAACACTGTAACCATACATACCTATCTTAAAGATACTAGACTCTGGCTAATAAAATGACTGCACATAAAAGATTTTGATTAGAAAAAATAAACTTGTCTCAAATAGATTAACGACTGTAATCGAATAAAATTATAACAAATAAGTATGTAAATTATAATAAAATTCAGGCTGACACTTTCAAATAAGAAAAGAAAAAAAGACAAAAATAGGTTTGCGTGTTCAGTCTCCGATTGTGGAAATTAAGCAACTTACACAATAGTGCACAGAATGGGTAACCAAATATGTATTACCTCTTTCGAGCTCCTCCGTGCTTCGGAAGGCACGTTAAGCCGTCGGTATCGGCTGCATCTGTTGCCGTCAGAACCCACCAATAGGCCTGCGTGGGTCATGGCCAATTCTCCCTATTTTATCCAGAGAACATGTACTTTGCAGTAGGGTCATACTTATAGGCTGACGATGATGATAATGAAGCTTACGTGGTACTAACGCCGATCCCAAGATCTGCATGGAGTTGGTGACAGACAGCGCTAGGTCTCTGTAGTGCTGCGGCAAGATCTCGCTGATGTACGAGTAGGGTACCGCGGCGGGGCAGGCTATGCTAACAGACATTGACACATTATTAATGCAAAATATTAAATACTTTCATGACTGGATTGGATGGATTGCAGTGATCGCCATGCACAAAGTGGGTATGGAGCCGTCGGTCATATTCCAGACACTTCAAAACCTTGGTATCAGCCGTATGTTCGTATATCGTTCTATCAACAGATACAACTACACTTCGTTTGTCGAAGACCAGAAAAGATCGGGGCGGCCGCGTGTTATGCTGTCAAAGCCATTATAGTCGAAACCCCATTAGGAATCAAAAAATCTTATCGCGAGAAACAAAGATTCCTACTAGGACTGTCGCGTATTATGAAGTTCGGTGCTTATCGTCCATAAACAGGACATGCCCTAAAATCTTTACAATTAAAGACAGTGGTTCGATCAAAGCGCTTTCTGTCACGATACGCAGGTGTAAAGCACAGAAATATCTTCTTTACCGATGAAAACAATTTTAAGGATCGAAGAACACTACAATAAGCAAAATGATAAAGTGTACGCTCATTGTTCTAATGAAGCTGCTCAAGTGGTCGGAAAGGTACAACGTGGTCATCATCTTGCGTCAGTTATGGTTTGGTGGGGCATTTCTTATCAAGGAGTCGCAAAACTACATTTTTGTAAAAAAGGAGTGAAAGCTTCAGCCAAAGTGTATCAAGATACAGTCTTTGATCATGTTGTGAAACCTCTCAGCAATACACTTATTTAAAAATATACAGTGGACTTTCCAGCAGCATTCTGCACCTGGTCAAGGGCACGAATTATCCAAGCCTGGCTTGAAATCAACGTGCTAGTCTTTATAAGAGCTGAAGACTGGCCTGGCCCTCATGTAGCCTAGACCTCAACCCTTAAGACTTCAAATTATGGTCACTTTTAGAGGACATGGCTTGCTTTAAACGACACGGCGACATTGAGTCTCTTATAAAATCTTTGGAGCAAGCAGTGGCGAAATTTCCCTTGGAAACTGTGCGTAAATCCACAGGTTCGTGGCCATACAGATTAAAGGCCTGTATAAAAGCCAAAGGTGGCCATTACGAATAGAATATTTTTTAATGAGACTAATAAATATGTAGATATAATTTTTGATAATATTATAATACTTAATTAAAAAAAAAGCATTTTCATTTATACAGACAGACAGACAGATTTATGTACTAGGTATATACAGATATCATACCACGGAATAAACAAATTATTAATAACCTAGATAGTGATCATTGTGGCCAGTGATTACATTTCCGTATCAGCTCAATCAGGTGACAAAAACGTATAAGTACTGACCTATAAAAATCAAATCTGCTAATCGCGTAGAACGTTTTAAAATAAAAAGCAATTAGATAAACAATGTGTTATCTAAAATAGACAGACAATCCAAATGATTTATATAATGATTTTTTTAATATAACTGCACTGAATTTAATAATAAATAAATAATAAATATTTCCAACACTCACACCAGGGTATTTGACAAGTTTTAGAAAACGATGTCACGTTATTGACTAATGTTTATGGAGTCCATAAAAAGTGGATATTCATCATTCTGTTGTGTATTTCAGTAAAAATATCCAAATCAAAAACTTCATTTTCAAGTTGCCGCAAAAACTTTCTCTGGACAATATGGCGTCTCACTGGTGTGTGACGTCACACGACTGTTATTAAAACGTCAAACGATACAATGTCATGTCACTTTAACCGGAAGTTTACTTGCGTGCGACGTCATTTTAGGCTCCGCCAATCCCAAGCGTTTTGGGTTACGTGACAATAGATAAGAAAACTATTAGCTTTCGTGGTTTTTAAGTACAATTATGAATATTTTTTCTGTAAAAATGGTGAAAATCCCTGCCAATATTCATTCTAAACACAGATGCTAACAATTGGCACTTTATTTTTAATGCTGTCAAATACCCTATTAGCCTAGCCCCAAAGTAAGCACTGTAAGGCTTGTGTTATGGGATACTAGGGTAACGGATAGAATACATAATATTGAACATATATAAGTATATTTATACAGAAGTACATATTAAACATCCATGACTGGAGTACAAATGCTCGTATTCATCACACAAACATCTGCCCCCACCGGGATTCGAACCCGGGACCTCTCGGGTTGGCGACACCATGAAACCCGGCGTATAAACCACTCAGCCACGGAGGTCGTCATTATAATATAAGATAATGTTTTTGTACCCAAAAAAAATGTGTTAATGATGCGGTAACTTTTAGTAAGTGGGCTACGCCTGGAATTCATAAAAGTAGAAGAATACTTTATGAACTTTATAGTTAACAAAACTGTAACACTAGTGAAAAAATTAAAGAGCATGTTCGTAACTATTCCAAATTGTTTAACAAAGTACTTATGCCGCTTAGCAAATCAAATTACTTAAGTTCAAAGATTAAGATCAGTAATGACAAAATCAAAATGACATGGAATATTAATTATGAACAATGAAACTGGAAAATCCAAAACTCGCAATAATAATTATAACGATGTAGATACGGCCAGATTAGTGTAATTTAGATATTTCCATAGTGTAATGTCGCACGGAAATTGATTGTGGGGAAACGCCGCCGTCCATCGAACTATTTTTGTGCTGTAGAATAGAGCTATTCGATAAATTTATAATCTTAAAGTTAAAGAATCCTTAAGAGATAAGTTTTGAAGAATTTGGCATAATGACGGTTGCATCACAATACATATACGAAAATTTATTACATGTAAGAATAAATATTAATTTCTTTCTTAAAAACAGTGATGTTCACACACTAAATGCAAGAAACAAAAATAAACTAACTCTACCTGCTACTAGGCTTCACAAAATCAATAATTCATGTAAAGGTCTTTGTGTTTGTTTAAACAATAAAGTCCCAAGCAATATTCAAGAGTTAACCATAAATAAATTCAAAGCTAGTATAAAAAGCACTTATTAAAAAAATGGTTGCCTGTAAAGTCGGTTTTACGGGCGAAGATTTTACGTGACAACGTCTTTTTCTCGGTAGAATATTTATTGATATGAATATAATTAAATTGCACAATAGGAACAAGGAATTGAATGAAAATAAGAATTGCACAAATTTTAACTATAGAAATATATTTTGTTTACTAAAACATTGTACATGTAAACTTAAACTTAACACGAGAGACTCATCGTAACGTTACCGAGCGTTACACTTTTTCATAAGTGACTCCCAGCCGCAACCTAATTTAAGACGTTGTCACGTCAAAAGCTTATTACAAAGTATCTGATTATATTACAGACAAAAATGCTTGGGTTTGATCTGTTCTAATCATTCCAACAGGTTTTCTATACTAAATAAATTATGATTGTATTGTCGTTGTAACAACATAATTATTTGTAAATATTGTTACATTATACTTTTAATGTTGTGGAGTTCTTTTCGTTCGTTTTACTCGTCAACTAAAAATATGTCCAATAACGGATGGTAGGGAAAATCATTTTTGGACGATTCAAAAGGGTTGTATTATACATCCAATTTGAATAAAGATATATTGATTTAAGATTTCTGATTTCATTTATGTTTAAATAATTAATGTTTCAGTAATTCCTATACTTAGTTTCTAACTATCTTATAGCCGATTATCATTCAAAATAGATTAAATTAGCTTATATTGTTTATGGCACAATAAACAACAGATTACAACGTTTGAATAACCGTAATTGCTACAAAACAACGTTGGATAAAGATAGGAAATAGTTACTTAGGCCTAGTATAATACCTAGATAAAACTGTTATTTTGGTTGTCAACTGAGTATCCATTTACGTAATCTACTAATCACTCATCGGTTCGTTATTATGGAAACGTAATAGAATCAATTAAACATGTAAAAACTTTTATCTACACTCAAGTCGAAATATTCGAATTATTACCATAGTCATGAATTGTAAATACCAATCCGCACAAATGTCATACAACGTTTTTCAACACATTTGCGAGTAAACAGTACCTATATCTACCAATCCCCTATTATCACCCATCAATCCCCACTACTCGTATCACCCACAAATCTCCTATTATATTTTTTATTTATTTACTTGATTATGTACAAATACAGCAATACATATCATACATTATAAAATTATTAATAACATAAATACAATTATTGTATGATAAATATTAGCGAAGGGTGCTGGTTCGAGTCCCGTTTGCTGCCTGGTCCGCGTGGATTTTTTCTAGTTATATTTTCTTTCCAAGTAAACATGAAGCAGTTACATGCTTAAAAAAATAAAAATTATAACCACAATTTTTATATGCTTGCCACTTAAGAGTGTACACAGCATTCAATATAAAAATGACAGTCTTTTAACAACATTAAAATAAAAATAAGCAATTCAATATTACACTCCCTCGTGTTTTGTTCTAGAATATTGAGTCGGTTGGATACATCGGGTAATGTAGACTTCAGTTTCCTATTATCCCCCTAAAGTTCATCTATCACATGAATTTTCTCCTCCAAACTAGTCTTCATCTCCTCGTATTTTTGATTGTAGAAAGTCATAGAATCCTTTAATTCGTTTACTTGGTCGTTGAAAACTTGTTGCTACACAGACTTTTATAATCCATAAATCCCCAATATCTCCCATCTATCCCCTTTTTCACCCCCAATTCCTTTTCACCCACAAATCGCCTTTTAACCCACAATTCCTCTTTACCTCTTTACATCCTGCAATCCCATTTTAACCCTTTAATCCCTTTTCACCCACCAATACTCACTATCACGCACCAATCACCTATTATCACCCACTAAACCCTTATTATCACCCATCAATCCCCTATTACCTCATATCAATCCTCACTTTCACCCACTAATCCCATATTATCACCCATCAATCCCCACTTTTACCCATTAATCCCTTATTATCACCCACCAATCCACTTATCACCCACCACTCCCCTATCACCCTCCAATCCCTATCGCCCTCCAATCTCTCTTTTCACAATCAATTCCCTTTTCATCCTCGAATCCCTTTTCACCCTTG